TACCTTCTTGCCTTTACAGATATCCTTTAAAAGATTAGTGACTACATCTTCCACGCCTAGTGTGTCCAGTATTCTCCACAACTCCTCTTGAACCACGTTATCGTACACACCCTTGATATCCAAAAATGCTAGCCACAGGGACCTGTGTTCCTTTTCTGCTATTTCGATAAACTGCGTCAGTGAGAACAGATTGTCTTCCAACCTCCTGTGTTTTCGAAACCCATTCTGCAGTTCCCCCAGCACCTCCTCATCCTCTATCCATGCCTGCAAGCGTTCCTTTATAATCTGCATCGCCAGCCTGTAGACCACACATGTCACTGTTAAAGGACGGTAGTTGTTTATGTCAGCTTTGCCCCTTTTCTTTTATAGATCATGCTCATCCTGCTAAGTTTCCATCTATCGGAAACATCACCAACGATTATTATTTTGCTCACTCCCTCTCTGAAAGCCTGCTTAGGCTTCGGACCTAATGTCTTCATCGGCATAATTGGAATGCCATCTGGGCATGTTGATGTACTACTAGGAACCCTTTTCTCAGCCCTTTCCCACTGTCGTTGTTTCCCACTCTCGTTGCCACTTGATTCATTCTTGTCTATTGTGGTGCATAAAGCACTTCTTTGTTGAAATTTTTCTGTCACCCTTGTTCCTATATATTCAATGGCTTCGTCCCCTTCTAGTCAAGCACATTCAGCTGTAGTTATAAACCTCTGCTCTAAACTCGTCTCATTCCTTAGGGAGTTTAGATGATTCCAAAATTTCGCAGCTGCCTTTCTATCTTTTTATGTACTTCTGCCAGCCACTAACCTTCCTTTCTTCTAATCTTTTCTTTGATCAGAAGGGATGCATCCCTTCTACAGCTTAGAAATATTTCCCATTTTCTTTCAACATCATCTGTCAGTTCACCCCGCTGCTTAGCCTGTCTGTGTTCCCTAGAGGCTTCCTGACGTTTTGCTATGGCTCTCTTAACTTCTTCATCCCACCAACTTTTGGGTTTGTGTCTTCTTTTCCGGGGTGACTTGTCACATACCTTAGCAAGCTCTAGCTCAAACAGTCTAATTATATTCGTGTATGTCCAGACTGTTTTATTATCCTCAGTGATTAATTTCTCAATTTGTTTAGTGGCTATTTCAATTTGCCTTTCTCAATAAAAATTTTCCTGCAGTTGCTCATCTTGTCTCCTTTCCACTTTCACTGCTCTTCCGAAACTTACCTTGATACGTTTGTGATCACTACCCAGACTTCTGCAGCCACCTTCATCTATGTGCATTCCCCTGAGCTTATCATACATCCTATGTGACATCAGTGCGTAATCTATCGTCGACTGCAGCCTTCCTACCTCCCATGTTATTTGCCCTTCACACTTCTCGGTACTGTTGCAAATGACTAAATCAAGCCTTTCACACATATTCATGATCATTTTGCCTGTCGGGTCAGTATACCAATCTATATCTATGTGCACATTCATATCTTCTAGTAAAATTATTTCGCACTCTCCTCCTAACTCCTGAATATCATTTGCTATACACTCTACCATTGCCTGGTTTTCCTCTCTGGCCTTTGCTCCTGTCAACAAGTACACGAACCCAAGGAGTGTAATTTGCCCTGCCACTTTCTCTTTTAGCCATAAATGTTATTTGCACTCCTGTTTGACCCTTTGCCAGTCTGTACTTTTATGAATGAATGCATCAATACCACCCCTCTTTCTGCTGCCTTCTGTTCTATTACAATATTTCCAATCGTAGTCCGGATTGTTAGGAGGTTGTTCCATGTCCCTGAGATGTGTTTCTACAAAACCGTATACCATCGGTCTCTCCTTCATTAGCTGTTCTTCTATTTCTTCGCACTTCAGCCTGTTCCTACCACCCTGCATGTCAATATACCCTATGTCTGAATTGGCTCGGCGCTCGTGGCTACGTCTATTTCTGCCCCGGACTCTACCTATCTTAGTATACTGCTGCCACTTTGGAATCGTATCTGTCCATACCACCTGTCAAAGAGTCTCCCAATTAATTTTCCTCGTTACTAGTTATCCTGCACCCCGAAGGACCAGCTTGCCCCCCAAAAAAGCTACTGTGCGTCCTGCAAGTCGCCAACCCACCTCATAACCTAGCCGCCCATCGAAGTGAATTCTGTCTCGTTGAAAACCACCCCACCTATGCACCTCTCTATTTATTTCCACCGCCTCAAAGCCTTTCTCTCGGCTCATCCGCCATATCTATTGGTTTGCGTTGAAAACTGCTCTTTGCCAGTTGCTATCACGCACCGGTACCTCCGGTATTGTGCATATCACTACCTGTACCTGAGGAGAAGTGGCGCGCATGTCATCAACGCCTTTCGCCAGTGTGGTTGCTAGTCCTGCTGTATTTTCATTTAGGACATTGTTTACACCCCCTGAAATTATCACGAGGTTTCGTCTATCAGCTGTAGTTTTGAGTTTTGCGCTCGCTTGCCTCATGACTGCTTCCAGCTTGCGTCCTTTTGTCACCTCTTACCCTCTCTTTGATGGCTTCTGTGCATCGATTCAAATTCGAATCCCCAGCGATTATCACATGCTGTGACTTTTCAGCTGGAGCTTCCTGCACCTGGGGGTTGCTTGCAGCTGTGACGCCGGCTGTTTTGTCCCCTCCCAGCCCCACCACTACTTCGCTGAAGCTTGGCCTTGCGACAATTCAACCAGCTGAACCTGGTTCTTCCAAACTCGCTTGCTCTTTCTTCTTCGCCGTTCTGGTTGCCGGTTCCCTACTATTCTCACCGTAGGCCGGTCCTCTGTTCACCTTGGCTAGTGCTTCTTCGGCGGACTTTAGCCTTTCTTCTATAGCCCTCGTTTTCTCTTGCTCTGTCGCCAACGCAGTCTCGGGCTCGGTGATTCTCATCAGCAGGTTACTTTGGGCAACCATCATTTTCTCCGTTTTTTCCTCGACCTCACATTCACTACACTTCGCGTCAGCCTCTTCTTCATCCGCTTCTACACTTGGGTTCACTTTCAAGCCCACCCCACATCCTGAACCGTTTACAGTCTTTTTAATCATGTCTTTATGACACCAATTGTCCCTATGACTTGTCTCACTCGATAATTACAAAATTCGAGCCCTGCACTACGAAAAAGAGAAAGTCTAAGCTCTACTACAAAATTTGCGTGTTCAATGTACGTGCACCTCCCCAACAGGGTGGCAAAAAAACAAAAAAAAACAAAAAAGTCCAACAAACACACGCACAAACTAATAAATACCTGGTGACTGACCCCCAAGAAAGCCGGACAATAAAATAAGTTCTACAGGGATTTTAGCTGCTGCCTTATAATTATAAAGACAAGCTCAAAGCATGCAAAACCACTTATCTGCACAGTCGATCGGGAGTGCGTCCATTCACGTCCATTCACCGTGACAGTCCGAACGGAACTCTAAGCATGGTAACAGGCCAGAGCGTCGTCTGTCGGGTAGCGGCCAAAACCTCATTTTCTCCGCGACGCTTTCGCCTCATCTTCCTGCGCTGCCACGGCCTAGAAGATTGTCTTCCTTGAAAGCTTGCTTCTCCTGTGGATACCCTGGCGTTCCATGCCATCCGCTATAATTTAGAGTAGGAAAGCGTGTAACACTTTCGTTATCCTGAAGCTCTTTTAAAAATATATTGAAAAATGAAGTCAATCTCGAACTATGGTGCAAGCATGATGGTAGTGTGACATGGGGCCGCCTTTTTAATTGCTCATTCTTTTTCGATTCATTTCTTTATCGATTTCTTTCGGTTTTGTCTTTCTCAGTTTTTCTTATTTGTCTGTCTTTATTTCTGTTTCTATATTTTCATATTTTTAATTTTTCTTTCATCCTTTCGTTGCCTCTCTTTCTCTTTGTGTTTCCTTTCGCTCTTTCTCTACATTTCTATGACCGCGTTTCATCCCCTCCTCTTCACTTTGCGAATCTCTCTTAAGCTCAGCTAACGTTCTTGAATAGCCGAAGGACTACGATTTTCGCGATTGGATAGTGGGTACGTGATATTAAATTCCTTCTGCTCAAGAAGCTTCTTTCACAATATTTTTCTCGTTTTCTCTTTCTATTTCTTTATCTTGATCTCTTTCCATATACCCGATTCATCGGTGTCATTCTTTTTGACGCCGGGCTTATCAATGGGCATGTGCCGGGAGCAAAGCCAAAGATGAAGAAGAGGAAGATAGCACGTACCTGTTCGTGTTGGTGTGAGCTTTCTTTTAGCAGACTACAATGAACAACTGGCGAAAGTAGAGTAGAGTAAAGTAGAACCTTGCACGGTAGAACCTTGCACGACGGAGTGGCCAAGAACCGGATAGTTTTCAATGAAATTCCTATTCTCGTCTTGGTATTTGCAAGTTTGTTCTATTCAGGCAAAAGCATTTCCGCAGCTTATTTTAAAAAATCAGCTTTATACAGTTTCTTCCGCCTCAATGCAAGCACTAAACTGTGTCACGGTGCAATATGTTCGCGATTATCACTACATATCGCATTCCTTTTTTTTTTCATTTCATTCAGTTTATTCATCACCAACGAAGTTGACAAATAAAAGGCAGACCTCTAAGTAAAATATATTTTTTTATTTTTGTGTGTATCTTGTTCATTACCTCCATGGTGTCGGGATAGCCGGCTCTAACGTAGCCTATCTTCCCATATTTTTTGCCAAGTATAAGAAAAGGCTAATAAAAGATATTATCCCACAAAGAAATGTCTTATGAAATGGTCTAGCAAAACGTGTTTTTCTTTTCTAATGAAATATTTTATTTATTTATTGTAATGAAATATGCAGCACATGCGCGACTCGGGCAGGTCACAGAGACACATCGGCAAAACCTGGAAAGTATGAAAAAAAACGAGTCGTTGTCTACCATATCGAAACGTATTTAGCCTCCTTCGCCCTGTTTTCAGTGAAACAAACCCACTTTTACATGTATTTGACTGACAAGCACGCGTTGTTCGTTGGCTAGGAGCTTTTGTCTAGAAATACAAAAGACGTATCTGACATGCACGGAATCCATTGTTTTGCTCGAAGTGGTACAGCATGTGTTTGCAATATCATCGCAAGCATCTACCGTTCCGCGAAATCTTCCGTAGATGGGATCGACGGCGTGCACCTGGGTTCTTTTGTGCATATTTGGTAAGCACCGCTAGGGCATGTGTACATTTTTAAACTCGTTCAAAGCAGAACATTTTCACTCACATTTCCGTCGTTAGTGCATCTGGTGTTCTGTTACTGACAAGGAAGCATGTTCTCTTTTTAGCTGTCACAGATTCAAAATGGACATGTTTAGCATCTCTTTAGGCTGTTTGTTACTTTCTTTGTTGAGTTAGTCTGTGTATCAGGATTGAATACATGCACAAGCAGAGATGAAGTGTGATTTATTACATTTATTTACTGTATTTATTTATTTATCACCTTTTCCAAAACAGCGCAAATAATATTTTTAGCAATGAGTTAACACAGTTTGACACAGTTCTGCACACAGCTTGAGCAAACAGCATCTTTAATTAGTAGAGCAAATGTCTTTTCGTTATTTGCTCCCAGATATTCATTAGACGCCACACTTTTATTGTGAATAGTTCACATTGCGCATGAGCTCACGTGAGGAAGCTATTACAATTTCACAAAAAGACCTATTATAGAGTCCACAGTGTTAAGTACAAGTACGCGTTCTCGTTGCTAAATTGTTAAAGGAACAAAGATAGGGGAGCTATGCGGAACCTCGGTGCAACATGCCCACCGTCTCGTGAGCCCGTGAATGGTGGCTGCAACCATTATTTTTTTCTGCAGCATTTCTTTCAGTGTGGGCCATTAACTTTTCTCAGTGCAGCCCGCTACACGCAAGTGATGGCTACCACGGAATGTCTAAACAAGATGCGGATGACGTTCTTGTAAGTAACAGTGTGCAAAGTACAGCACAGGCTGATGACCTGTTCTTAGCCCTTGTATTGCTTACAAAATTTCCGCTGCAAAGGCAACACAATTATTGCGGAAGCAAGAATGCAAAATTTAAAACGATGTAAGGCTGGCGCCTAACCCTGCTCCGATCTCGCGCAACTCTGCAAAACACTGGTGTAAAATATTGTGCTTACCCTAGGGAGCGAAGCTATTTTGCTCAAGACAATTGCGTGTGGAGCACAGCGTGTTAAAAAGTATCCGAACCGTTTTCGAAACCCTGCCGAGATAGCACGCGCACTCGCGACCACGGTACTGGTTGTATGTATGAGGCAATGAGGCAGTAATATTTATATATGCGATATTACGTGCCAAAATCGTGATATCATTATGATGCACGCCTTAGTGGAGAGCTCCAAAATTTCCACCATCTGGTCTTCATAGACGTGCGCTGCGACAGCAAAGTACACGGGCTTATAGCGTTTTGTCTCGGTCAAAACGTGACCGCCGCGGCCGGGATAGACCCCACCTCTTTGGGAGTAGCTGCCGAATGGTTTTACCGCTGTATGCAATACACCGTCTGACCACACACAGTCGCGAAAGCATAGTCACAATTATTGCAAAGCATTCAATGTAATAAAAATTCAGAGTTGCTGGTCATCTCAAACAGTCCCTCCGCTCCTTCAGCATATGACCAGTGATAGGCCTTCCACGCGGTTTGATGTTATCGCGTGCGCCCTCTCTGCTGGGGAGATAAGCAGACTCATTCTATTTATGCTCCAGCCATGTTCTTTGCTCCCACTCACATGCTTCCACGCGCTGGTAGGACATTCGATGCATACGGGAGGCAGGGGTACGTAATCCATCCGCACTTTACACGGAACGTGACAGCGACGACAACGGCTAAAACCCAGTAAGAGTGTCCATATAGTTGCTGTGGCAAAGTACGCTTTGGGGCACTGGTGGTTACGATGCTCGATCGATGACCCATAGGCCTCGGGATCGTATCACGGCCTCTGCTACCATTTTGCTATACAGGTAATTAGCCAGAGGCCCATGTAGTTAATATTGGTTCCTCATGATATCCCAGTGTTTGGAATTTCCAGAGCTTTCCACAACGGCCCCCATAATATTACCACCCCATTGTGGTAATCTAGTGGCTAAGGCACTCGGCTGTTGAACCGCAGGTCACGGGATTCAATCGCGGCTACGGTGGCTGCATTTCCGATGGGGGTGGAAATGTAGGCCCGTAGCCTCAGATTTGGGTGCAGATTAAAAAACACCAGGTGGTCGAAAATCCCGAAGCCCTCCACTACGGCGTCTCTCATGATCATCTGGTGGTTTTGGGACGGTAAACCCTACATATCAATCAATCAATCTCATATTATTACCACTTTTTGAGAACTAGAACCCTATGAAATACATTAATTGTTGTTAATATTAGACAATATTTCTATGTCAGCATTACTGTACTGATATTATTCCCATTGGTAATTTTACTAATATTATTATTATTATTATTATTATTATTATTATTATTATTATTATTATTATTATTATTATTATTATTATTATTATTATTATTATTATTATTATTATTATTATTATTATTATTATTAAATGGGCGAACACACCGAAATGCTCTGCAAATATTGTCGTTGAGCTGCAGTGAAACATTTATTAACGTCACGCGAAAGAAGAACTTCGCCATTTTTGCTGATTTCAAGGTAGGGTAGCGCCGGTGTATAAAGAAATTAACAAAGTGAAGCTAGTTGAGAAAAGTTGCTTGAAAGCAACGAGTCCCTCGCTTTCAGTCCCACTTCCATACTCAATAAGTTCTTTTCGCTGAGCATTCCACACTGTCGCGAAAAAATATCCAAGTGGTTTGCGGGCTACAGATTTCTGTGGCAGCACGCTGCAGACCCTGTGCCATGAGTGTAAGTGTAAATAAATGCGGCTCTCGAAGATGCGCTAGTCACATCCGTAATTCTATGCACCCTTTCCAATGCCAGATGGTCAATCGATCGTGAACTAGCAGGTGTTCAGCCGTTTCTAGTGTCAAAATCTGAGTGTTTACCGAAGCAACTTGTCATTCCGTATTGTCGTCTTTTATTGGTGCCTGATAATGAACGCATCCGTATCGCTGATGCCAGTTGCGACTGAAAGGTTGTGCTGGTAAACGCATGCATGAAGCAGTCGTTCCGTGGTGTGACGGAACTAAACAGGAAAAGAGATTCTTGAATTGAAGGAGGGCGAAGAGTGGAGTTAAGTGACGCAGTAACTGTCTCTCAGGCGAATACACCTCAACTGTGACACTTGGGGGGAAGGGGGGGGTGACGTATAGGAAGAATTAGAGGGGAGTGAGAGGCATGGGTGTTGGGAGGGGTTGCATGTTCGTAAGTTAGGAGGAGAGAGCAGTGAAGGGGGAGGAAGCGATGTGAAATGAACAACTAAGAAAGATATACACGAAGAAGGGAAACAAGAAAGAGAGAAAAAGCATAAGGAAGACAGAAAAGAAGAGAGAAAAAGAGAAAGACAGAAAACTAGAAAGTGAAAGACAAGAAAAAATGAAGAGTGGCAGGAGTGAATCTATACCAGGAAACAAATCGAATAAAGTAAAGCTAGAAAAAAAAAGAGAGAAAAGAGAAAACCAGTAGTATGCCAGCCCCACCAAAGGGCTCCTGAATTTTGTGTTTGAATGTTCTGCTAAAGCACTTAAAGCTATTGCGATTACCTGCTAATTCTTTCGCAACTCTGTAAAGGCAGCATCTAGCGTGAGCACTGTGTAGGGTTACATACGGCTGATCGTTTTCGAGTGGTCTGAATGCACACTTGTTTTATTTAGTGCAGCAGAATCTCTTCAATACGACACTTCAAAAATATTGTCGGCGCCTAGGCCCAATTTGTTTTATTTTTGTGCCCAGCCAGTGTCCCTTGGTGATAACATTATTTTATGCACTTTCATACTACGAAGTTTTTGCCAAAGATTAGGTCAAATGTGACCGCGAAAGTCAATCTTTACCTGAATGTCAAGAAATACTTCGTTAATTCTTCTGTCTACTTGCTTAGCTCAAACCGTATTCCAACAAGTCATGACATGCAGGTGTCAGACTTGCTAAAGCAAAAGCGGCATCGGTTTTGGGGGAAAAAAATTTCCGCCAAGCAAAGGCACTGCGCTCACTAATGATGCTTATGTTTAGTACAAAATATTTTAAAGAAATATGTAAAGCCCTTTTATTCCAATAGCAATCTATGAACACCTTTGGTTTTATTTTGCCACCGGCATCGGCGTCGACATACCTAACCGTATATGCATACGTATCTATATATATGAAAATGCCTGAAAGAAAAAAAAACCAGAAGAAGACTCCGGCGTGCGGAATCGAACTTGGGTGTTCTCAGTAGTGAGTGCAAGCCGTAACCACTGAACCACCGAAAATCACTTACTGTACTGTTTAAACGTTAAGCTATTTATATCTACCATTTACCGGTGCTCATGGGCTTCTCGGGCAGAATTATCGCACTTCAGGAATACCAGCAAGATGGCGCAATGAGCGCACGTCACCACATCGCGTGGCAGCGCGTGCTCTAATCTCCCACGTGTATTTTGCCCCGCTTAGAGAAGGGCAGCGACGCTCCCTCGCACACTCTTGTGTCGCGGTGGAGAGCGGAGGATCGTACGTTTGCCTGGCCTCTGGTATTACCTGGAACAATTCTGTCGTAGTTACCTGGCGCGCAACGGTCACTGCAATCATTGCAGTCTCCATTTGCGAAAAGCGTTCACATTTCAGACAGCGAAGTAACAATCGAGACGCTTATTCGCGTACATCTGTACCTGTGAGTACGTTTTGTGCGTCATTAGTGCGTGAGAAACGCGGGGCACGTTTCGATCTGCTTTCCATTCTGCGGGTAACCTTCCAATTTCTTGCTATCGCGTTTATTGCTCCACCTTTACACCAAAGCTGTGGCTTTTTTTAAAAGTATTTACTCCTTGACGTTGAAACGAGGCAGTGCAGTGCAAATAGACAAGCTACTTTAATGTAGTTCAATAATAGTAAGTGCCTCATGGAGCATGCAGGTTGTGAAGTGAACGCCCGTGCTTAAAAACAAAGATGCAGAAAAAAAGTGAGAGCACGAGTGCTAGACAAACAGCAAATGTTAGTTCAGTGCTCGTCTTGTCATTGGCATAGCCAACGGTTGGCACACCAGCCGCCCCCCCCCCCTCCCCCCGCTTGAAGTTTGTTCGCCGTGGCCTAGGGTGCACCCCGCGTCCGACGCTTCGGCTCTCTATGGGGGCTGAAACGGCTGTGCAAGCCTATTCACTGTCACTGGTGCAACTGGCGCCTTCTTTGGCGGATGCACAAGCATGGCCTCTGTCACTACTAATGTTGAGGGCAGGTGCTGCATCATGTGGGCCGTTTGCACAGAGCCCACGAGGGTGCTTTTCTCCTTGGGAGACTGCGAAGCTGCCCTACTCCTTAGAATTCACAAGATCCGCCTTCATTAAAAGATGTGATTCACGCTCCCTGTCCTCTTTAGCCCCTTACACCAAACCAGCAGCATCGGGACGTGCAGTTGAAGCTGGACAACTTTCCCATTAGGGGGCACTGGCGAGCGAGCTTCAGTCATGGCGAAATTCCATGAAAAGCATCAGGGGCATCTCCTCGGGCTCATGGACGGGTCTCTTGAAGACAATCTCCGTTCGGCCGCGACTGCCTCATTTGGAAGACTGCAACAACTATCCAAAGCCGCATTCATTTTCACGCCAGCTCCACTGTAGCCGAATCGGCTAGCTTAACTATGGAAGTTGACTACCATGATGCTAATGCTAAAACGCCGAGCAGCCTGTTGCGATCCTCGGTGACTGCCGGCAAGCCCTACAAGCGCTTCTGGAGCTGAACGGAGCGTAAATCATCGTGGTGCTGCTGCACGCCAAGCTCACTGCCATCAGATATAGGGGTGTACGTTTGTCATTCCAGTGGCTTAATTTGCACGTTCGAGTAGCTGGGAACGAGGAGGCCCTGTTTATTTTATAAGCCACGTGTTTTCTATGGGTCGCTGTTCATCGCCTGCGTGGCGTGCCGCAGATGCGGTGATGATGAAACACTGGTGCAGATCATGTGATTCTGCTTTGCACTTACTGCTGAACAGCGTGTGATGCTGAGCCGCTATTGCCTTCTCCCTGTGACAACTGCGAAGCACTTCGTTTTCTCGCATGGTCCAACATGCCGGCCGTACAAACGTTGCTCGAGTTCGCGGTTCCTTCCGGCCTCGCCCCCCTCTACCCGAGCGCTTTACCATCAAGCTCTTATCTGCGCTGACAAGTCACGCCTCTCACTTATTTCTATGTTCTCTTCTTCATGCCATCTTTACTGCCCGTTCTCCATCCTCATAGGCGCTAAGCCGCACCCTCACAAAGGGAGGCGGAAAAAAAATTCCTATTTTATCTTTTTCTTTCCCAAACTTCTCTCTCTCTCCCGTTCTTATCATGGCATCCAAGACACAAAATCGCCCTTTACCACAAATGCCTGCCTGGCTTCTATTCCAGATCAAGAAGGAGCCCCCCCGTCCCCCGCGTGTTCTCACTCGTTCTTTCTGCGTCCTTGTTTTACGCACATTCATTCACTTGAAAATATGTGACCTGATCATTCATGCTTTCTTCTTTTTATCTGGGGAACACTTAAGGAGGCTGGCCTATTGTGTGCTGATTTTGTTGCTTGGCATAACGCTTGCAAAACCACCTGTACCAATGCGATTCGAGGACATACTCGCACCATTGAAAAGTCTGCTTCCTCGTGGTCTTCGAGCGCCTTGATGACTATACTAACACAGGCAGTACAACTTATAGCACAGTCACCTGTAGGCCCTTCAGTCGCCAATTTTGATGCAGTGTCAGAAACGCGTCAAATTCACGTGGCGTAACTCCAAGGCACTCAGTATTGCACTCAGAATAAGAAAATGGAGGAAAACGTTGTGTTCGGTAAGTTTTTGTAATTAAAGCAAATGAGTGTGTAACTAATTATCTAACTGTTCACGCACCATTCAGATTCAGTAATTGCATAAAGACCCATTAATAGGTTGGAAATGCATGCACAGTTTGTTTTTCAGTTGTATTTGTTTCCAGCGAATTAATAAAACTTTTCGCGTTGGTCCTGGAACGCGTCGCGTCGGACAATCCTCTAACGTGGTTGTGTATTCAGCAAAGTTATCTTCTGCAGCAACACGCAGCATAATAAAGTTAATTGATCACCAGTTGTTCACTCAGGAGGCCCGCAGGAGTGTGCACACTAAGTTTCAAGTCATTTTATGAAACAGGTGGTGCCTGACGTGCCATTGAAGTTGGCGTCTCCATTTATACACCCCGTGACTGAAAGGGGTAGCATAATCAGCGCTCGCTCACGTCAAAGAAAAGTCTTCCGTTTTTTGTTCATTGAGTGTCGTGATGATGATCAAGTGAGCAGTACACTCGGAAGGTATAGCGCTTGAAAAATAGAAAGCAAGTGATAAGAAGAGAGCGAGAGAGAAGTCAAAATTAGTATGACATATTAAAATGACCAGTGCTAAATGCAAAAAGCACAACAAAAACTGTAAATGAACACAAGAAACTAACAGAAAAGAAAAAAGCACCATAGGGAAACAAAAAAGCTAACCTGCTCCACTATTCCTTCAATCTTGGTACCACTTGTGCGAAGCTGCACTAATTTTTTATTACATCTTCTGTTCATAGGGCTTTGCATATATGATTTATTTCTGGTTTTCGTAAGAAACGTACTAACGAGTTTCTACTGTACTGTATTCCAGCTCGGAACGCTTTTAGGTGTTCTTACAAGTGGTTACGGACGGTACACTGGATTTCGACACATGTGCCTTTCGCTTTGAAGTCACCTCAGCCGAAAGTGAATGCGCAGCAGTGCTTCTGTGCCATCACGCTTCGTCTGGCTACAGAGGAGGGAGTGGGGACATTTTTCTTGTTTGAGCTTTCATTGCTCTAGCAAGTGGCTGCACATTTGCGTTCTAAACGCTTTCCAAGACTGCCATCATAAGGGCGCTCCCCATTTACGCTAACTGTGTTGGAGCTGTGTAGCACATGAGCAAACGCAGCATTAGTGCACACTTTTCTGCCTGAAAAATAATCCAAGCATTGACGAATTAATATTATGCTATTTGTAGCACAAAAGTTTCTGTTTCTCGTTATAGGAGTTTTCCTGGGTACCATGTATATGCATCTGCGTCCAGATCCGACAGCCTACAACTCCTGGAAGCAAACTGACGTGGACTTATCATATGCTACCCTGTGAGGTTGGGACTACTACGTTGCGCGCGTTTTAATAATTAGTGATTATTCATTTGACGTACGCATGTGAGAGGCAGTGGCCAGATCCTGCACCAAGGTGGCTAATCCTTCTCTGGTGAGGGAGTGCGTTCCCGGCGATGGTTTCCGGCGAGGCCGCACCCCAGGCCTCTTAATGCAGTTCCATCACCACGCGGATTTTTTTTATCCGGTTGGGAACTGCGCCGCACCGGGATTTGAACCACGTACCTTTTGCATGCAAGGGGGATGCTCTAACCACTATGCCATCGTCACTCTAACTACTACGCCAAGTAAGCTTTTCTTACTTCTTCTATCATTACTGACACCACACCAGTAATGATAGAAGAAGTAAGAAAAGCTTTGGAAAGCATGCAAAGAGGCAAAGCTGCTGGTGAGGATCAGGTAACATTAGATCTGCTGAAAGATGAAGGACAGATTGTGTTAGAAAAACTAGCCACCCTGTTTACAAGGTGTCTCCTGACGGGAAGAATACCAGAGTCTGGGAAGAACGTTTACATCATCTTAATACATAAGAAAGCACATGACAAGGACTTGAAAAATAACAGGCCAATCAGCTTGCTCTCTGTAGTATACAAGCTATTTACAAAGGTAATTGCTAACAGAGTAAAGAAAACATTAGAATTCAATCAACCAAAAGAACAAGCAGAATTTCGAACAGGCTACTCAACAATCGACCACATTCATACTATCAATCAGGTAATAGAGAAATACTCAGAATATAACCAACCATTATAGATAGCCTTCATAGAATACGAGAAGGCGTTCGATTTAGTAGAAATATCACCCGTCATGCAGACACTGCGGAATCAGGGTTTCGATGCAGTATATATAAACATCCTGGAAGAAATCTACAGGGGATCAACTGCTACCATAGTGCTTCATAAAGAAAGCAACAGAATACCAATCAAGAAGGGTGTAAGGCAGGGGGACACAATCTCCCCAATGATATTTACCGCGTGCTTACAGGAGGTTTTCAGAAGCCTTGAATGGGAACAGTTAGGGATAAGAGTTAATGGAGAATACCTTAGTAAGCTGCGCTTCGCCGGTGACATTGCATTGCTGAGTAACTCAGGGGACGAATTGCTACTCATGATCACGGAGTTAGACAAGGAGAGCAGAAAGGTGGGTCTTGAAGTTAATCTGCAGAAAACGAAAGTAATGTACAACATCCTCGGAAAAGGGCAGCACTTCGAGATAGGTGATAGTGCGCTTCAAGTTGTAAAAGACTATGTCTACTTAGGGCAGGCAATAACCGTGGAGCCGAACCACGAGATTGAAGTAACTAGAAGAATAAGAATGGGGTGGAGCACACTTGGCAAGCACTCTCAATTTTGCAATTCCTCAAATTATGACAGGTAGATTGCCACTATCCCTCAAGAGAGAGGTATATAACAGCTGTATCTTGCCGGTACTTGGCTACGGAGCAGAAACCTGGAGACTTAGAAAGAGGGTTCAGCTTAAATTGAGGACGACGCAGCGAGCAATGGAAAGAAAAATGGTAGGTGTCACTTAAAGAGACAAGAAGAGAGCAGAGTGGATTAGGGAACAAACGGGTGTTAAGGATGTCATTGTTGAAATCAAGAAGAGGAAATGGACATGGGCCGGGCATGTAGTGCGTAGACAGGATAACTGCTGGTCATTAAGGGTAACTAACTGGATTCCCAGAGAAGTCAAGAGGGTTAGGGGGAGACAGAAGGTTAGGTGGGCAGATGACATTAAAAAGTTTGCGGGTATAAATTGGCAGCAGCAAGCACAGGACCAGGTTAACTGGCGGAACATGGGAGAGGCCTTTGTCCTGCAGCGGATGTAGTCAGGCTGATGATGATGATGATGATGATGATGATGTTGATTATCTATTAAGTTGCTTCAAATATTTAGGGGAATATTTGACCTCATTTAAGGCATGCAGTCTGGGGTTGACGAGACAGCTTTTCCTTGTAATATTGGCGGCTCGGTGAAGGCTGCTGATGTCTATTCTATGAAACTGTTAATAAATTGTCAAAATAAATTGTCAAAATTGTGCATTTACGTATTCAGCAGAGTGCTATGTTCTGTTTAAATAAAAATTGGTACAAGAAATTTGTATCTACAAATGAACATGTGACCTAGTTTCTGGACATTTTTTTCTATGCCTACGAAGTACCTCAGCTAATAGTACTGTCTTCTTGCTAATCAATCTGAACGTTTTGAAACTCCTACCTTCACAGTACGTTTTAATATTTTGTCATCTTTCTTTTAGTAACTATCACTGAAGAGTATTTCAAGCAGCTGTCATTGGATTAGCGACAATGACACATGTGATTACTACTGATACGAGATAAACGCACTACTATTTTGTGCCAGTGTTCAAACTTTCTAGTCTTTCTACTATTTTTACTACACTCACCTCCTCAGCTACTGGAACCTCTGACAAATGGAAGATTCGCTTGTAGAATTATGTGTAATTTCAAAAGCGAAATAAGCCTGTCGTCCATTAACATATTAACTGGTAGTGTTGCCATGCTGTACTCAATGTCATCAGGTGTAACTCTATACGTTAATCCGAATTTTAAGAAGATGGTGAAAAAAACGAGCACTCTTGTGCTGATGTTGAGGTATACGCTTCAGAAAATGTATTCTAGAAAAATTGCTCCACACCTTATTTGTATGGTCCGACTTGAATTCAAAGTGAGATTATCGCACGTTATACGTTGCAAATAAAAAAAAAACGAAGCTCACCGAGCCCGTACATCTGATCACTGGAGCTGTGCATCTGGACCTGATGTGTACCTGGACATGCGCATCGTGTGTCTAATCACTGGATATCTGCCATGTGTTGAAGTATGAGTGGGCTTGTTTCAACATATGGCTGTCAGTATTAGGTAGTTGTTCATTAGCTCCAAATTTCAACTGTATTTATTTCTATCTCTCTTTTTGTCTGGCCCAGATGAATTGAACCGAATACTCGCTAAGCTTTTCGCAAATGTCAGAAAGCCGACTTTGTAGATCATCTGTCTTGTGGATACGTTTGTCGTCACACTGTTTTGTGTTCAACCACTTTAGAATGAGTGCCAACTGTCCTAAAGGTGAGGTATTTCAAACTTCACGACTTTCTTCTGTCATTTCATCGAGTGTGCTTGCTAAACGGCAGGTTTTCGTTTTTATTTTTACTGCATTTTGTCTTTTAGAGTCATTGGTTACGAAAAAATAAATTTGTTGCTCTTCCCAGGAAGCATCAACTGTTCCGTGTACCCTCAAAGACTGTACCCACGGCAGTGTGCCCCACCACGCACGCCGTTTCCGGAGAAGCGCCATCAGTGACATTGCAAAGTTCATTCAGGTGGCGATACCGGGAGGAGACAAATTGCTAGACACTCTCTACAGTGCAACCAAAGGAAAAGTTGGCGTCAAAAAGGAGAACATCCTTGAATAAAGCACTGCCCAACAATGAGTGCAGCTGCTTTCGCACGTTTTCTTCACAACTACCCTGCAGTGTTGGTCAAGAAGAAATGATATTTATGCAGCGACGCATGCTTAGGAATGACCGAGAGATTGATTTCAAATCTAGGTGACTTTTATTCTTATGAGCTATTTTAGCCATCTATTTTAACCACACTAAATGATTTCGAAGTCATATGATGTATGCAAACTCCGCTGAATCACTGCTCTTTTATATTCAGGTCTTCTAACGGAATGGCAAATGCCACAAATATGACGTGCAACGCAAAGTGCCCCGATGGGAATTCGATCAGCAAAACTGAAAACCGAGAACAAGAACAACAAAGGGTGTACTGAAGAAGATACAGAACACGTGGCTGCCCTAATCATCCAAATTTACCGACGTAGTCACCTAACCAATTGCAGCCACATACTAGATCACAGCACCTCGGCGTCATTTCACTCACGTGAAGGCATATAACTGGTTGAAGAGAGATGCCAAGTCTTAGCCAGAGCCACTAACTAGGTCCTAGTGCATATTGCCCGGGCTGCACTTACTACTCGTAATAATGGGGCATCTAAAAATGTCTGCATTGGCATGTCACTGCGTTTTTTTAAATGTACATTATGGGTATCGGTATTTTTCCGGCGACCCGTGCCTCATGGTGGAGGGTCTAACGCAGAAGCCCTGCCTCTCTCAAAGTGCTGATTATATCCACATAAAAAAACACAGCGCCACTAACGAGAGACAAGAAAAAGAAGGAGACAGACAGCGGCACTGAACTTACAACAAGATTTATTTGCCAGAACCGCACAATATATACTTGGGCAGTATCTAACAAAAAAAGAAAATACAAAACAAACAAAACAGAATCCACCTAACAACCACATAGTCATCTCCACAACGCACCATGAGCAGCACGTGTGCTAACGTGCCGAAGGAAATCTATTTCTTTTAATGATAGCGCAATTGAAGGCCTGCTGACACATGCACTGCCCAGCCTTTCTATTTCTGAAGCCTCATAAATTTCACGCATCAACTGGTCCCGATGCCGCCTAATGACGGTACAAAGCTGAAAATCAGGGACACAGCCGCAGTCTCGGTAATGAATGCCGAGATGGCCCGAAACTGTAGAGGAGACGTTGTGAGCGTGCTCTTTCAGCCACTCATTTAAACACCTGCCTGTTTGGCCGATGTACCACTTGCCGCAAGACAGGGGTAGCGAGTACACCACTCCTTCAATGCATGGAACGTACTTCTTTCGATGCTTGACTTTGCAGCCTCGCTCGCCCCTCGAACCAGGATTCACGGCTCTGCACAACCTAGCCAGTTTTTCTGGGGCAGAAAAAACCAGGTCTACGTCGCACCTGCTGGCTACTTTTTTGAGATTGTGGGTGACGCCATGGATATAGGGAATAACGACGAAGTTTCGTTTCCCACGTCCCTTATCCTTTGTACGGTTCTGAGCATTATTTTCTGGGCCCGTTCTGATTTCTCTGAGTAGACACTCAGCAACGGCGGTCAAAACGTACATCGGGAAACCAGCTTCTGTAAGGCATTTAGTTTGCTTATTAAAGATGGACAGAATTGTGTGATAGCAGGACTTTCGCAAAGCGTTTGTGTAGCAAGTCTTAGCAACAGCGCGCTTCACCACTTTCGAATGTGCTGAACCAAAAGGGAGGATTGGCTTGTTGGCGCGTGGCTCATAGGCCCAACACACGTGGGAAGGACTCAACGTTAACATCAAATCTAGGAACCTGATGGCTCCTCTGTCCGGAACTTCATGTGTTATAACAAGCGTAGAAAGACACTTGCTGAAAATTTCTAAAATACTAGTCAAAGGCGGACCATCCGAGGAGGTTCCAGCTTGAAACAACACAAGGAAATCGTCAACATAGCGGAATACTCTCTTAACAGATGTGGATCCCAAGCAATTCTGAATGGCACGATCACGGCTGGCTAAAAATAAATCACTCAAAATGGGCGCAAGGCATGATCCTATGCACACCCCTTGACGTTGCAAGTAAATATGATCGTCCCATTCTGCAAATGTCGACCTCAGGTAATACTGTAGCAGTTCCATAAAACCTTCAACAGATATGCCTACTGCATTCTGGTAATTCACAACGCCAAAACTGTCAATGCACCCGCGAATGCAAGCTAGAAGCTAACTGTGTGGCAATGAGTAGTACAGATCTTTAATATCTATTGAGCATGCCTGGTAGCCATAAAATTTGTTATCTTTCAGCACGGAAATCACATCATCGGAACTTTTTGCTGGGAATGGATCGTCTATGCTTAATAACATCAGTTTTCCCTGAAGAAATTGTGCCAGTATTTTTTGCCACGAGTTGGCCTCTGATACTATAACACGAAAAGGACAGTTAACTTTGTGCGTTTTCGCGTTAAAGAAAATTTCCATGCTAAGGTTTTTCTCGCCACCCCTGTCTTGCGGCAAGTGGTACATCGGCCAAACAGGCAGGTGTTTAAATGAGCGGCTGAAAGAGCACGCTCACAACGTCTCCTCTACAGTTTCGGGCCATCTCGGCATTCATTGCCGAGACTGCGGCTGTGTCCCTGATTTTCAGCTTTGTACCGTCATTAGGTGGCATCGGGACCAGTTGATAAGTGAAATTTATGAGGCTTCAGAAATAGAAAGGCTGGGCAGTGCATGTGTCAGCAGGCCTTCGATTGCGCTATCATTAAAAGAAATAGATTTCCTTCGGCACGTTAGCACACGTGCTGCTCATGGTGCGTTGTGGAGATGACTATGTGGTTGTTAGTTGGATTCTGTTTTGTTTGTTTTGTATTTTCTTTTTTTGTTAGATACTGCCCAAGTATATATTGTGCGGTTCTGGCAAATAAATCTTGTTGTAAGTTCAGTGCCGCTGTCTGTCTCCTTCTTTTTCTTGTCTCTCGTTATTGGCGCTGTTTTTTTATGTGAATCATGTCGTACCAACTCCCCCAAGCAACCACGTTAGCTGATTATATCCGCGCCCTTTTTATTAAAATTTTTCTTAGGGACCTTCGACGCAAAAATTTTGGTCTGTCTGTCTGTACATTTGTCTGTTTGTCCACTTTTAAAGAGAACGGGTATTTGAAACAGCCGACCTCATCCGCAGTGCCCTCCAATGTTGCTCAAGGCCTAGCGTTCGTACTTTGGCAATTGTCGATTGAAAAACAATTATTGCGCATGTCTGGGACACCATAACAATACGTATGTAATCTGCATGTGCGTCTTTTACTACCAAAGGCATAAATTAGTAATGTTAGGGACCATAGCGCTTATCACGTTGCGCTGACCATGCAACGCTTGCACAAAAAGGCGAGTGTTTCCAAAGCTTTGCTGAGACGAGGTGGTGGTGGCACCTACCTATCGCCTTGCGTTCTACGCTTTATCAACTCTGAGACGGGCGCGCACACCCGTCTCAGAGCCACGTGCTTCCTTTTCTAACAAAACTTCCAGATTACGCTCATGTCTCACGTGTGACCTGACTTGATGCGCTCGTTCGCCTCCACTGCACGCTCGAGGCACTCTAACGCAGCGTCTCCAGAATACCATTTACTGATTTTCTTGCGCAGAACATCAAATAAACGTTTTGTTAACTCTCTCCACACGCAAGACTATCGTCTTTCGAACGACATTTGCGTAATAACATGCATATACAGGGCCAATTTTTTTTTATTCTGCACCGAACCATCTAACACGTGATATCAACAGACTCCCGAGCTCTCAGAAAATGCTGGGTTGAAAGGGCAGGTATTTGGAGCGAATATACTCGGAGATGCTGAAAAGAATTGTAGTGCAAAACAGCACCAGGGGGACAAGGCGCACGGTTGTGTCTATACGTGCGTTGCTTTTGCTCGACAATTTCTCCTTCAGATGTAATCAACCCTAAAGAAATCTGTTTGATAAGCCGAGATGTTTGTTTATTTTCATTGTTGAGATTACAATAATTTATACACAGGCTCAGAGACAGAGAAAATAAGCCTGAAATTACTATTATATAACACTAACAATATTCGCAATCTAAATAATTAGCAAGAACTTTCACCTATTGAAAACAGTGGTCACTCCCTGATGTTTTGATTGAACTTTTTTTGGAAAGATGTGATGGCTACTTGTGCAACTTACTGAGAGCAGAAAGAATTGCTTGCGGGCGGTTTTAGTAGATAGTGCAACCAAATCAATGAGGGTACAGATTGCCGCTGACACCGTCTATTGTGCTTCGTGCCCCGCCGCGGTGGTCTAGTGGCGAAGGTACTCGACTGCTGACCCGCAGGTCATGGGATCGAATACCGATTGCGGCGGCTGCATTTCCGATGGAGGCGGAAATGTATGCCCATGTGCTCAGATTTGCATGCATGTTAAAGGACCCCAGGCGGTCGAAATTTACGCAGCCCTCTACTACATCCTCCATGCTGTCTTCCTAACTTTATAGTTTGGCCCCACCATGGTGGTCTAGTGGCTAAGGTACTCGGCTGCTGACCCTTAGGTCGCGCGATCGAATCTCGGCTGTGGCAGCTGCATTTCCGACGGAGGCGGAAATGTTGTAGTCACCCAGGTGGTCAAACCCAGGTGGTCAAAACCCCAGGTGGTCGAAATCTCCGGAGCCCTCCACTACGGGGTCTCTCATAATCATATGCTGGTTTTGGGGCGTTAAACCCCAAATATTGATAGTGCTTCGAAGGAATCGCGGGGTGTCATCTCGTCCGCGTTTTTTTTTTTTGATGCACCAGCAGCTTAGCGTAATTTGACACAGCATTTTTATTCGTGATGAATTGATACCCTTACACCTCTTTCTACATTATTTTGAAGGTAGTTCCGAGACCTGACATGGCTCAATAGTAGAAGACTTGATTGGAACGCAGAATGTTAGGATTCGATTCCTGCTAGGACAATGACATTTATTTTTTGCATTTGTCCGGTCAACGCTGCAGATGTCCACCTTTAACGATCAGGCGTGAAAATACTCATGTGTGTTCCGGTCGTTCTTGGGTAGACATACACT